CTTCTTCCTCTTGTTTTCCTCCTCCTCCTCTTCCATTCTTCCTCTCTCCTTCCTCTATTCTTCCTGTTTCTCCTCCTCCTCTTCCTCTTCTTTTTCTTCTTGCTCCTCCTCCTCTTCTTGTTCTTCCTGTCCTTTCCTCCTCTTCCATTTTTCTTCCTCTCCTCCTCCTTCTTCCTTCTGCTCTTCCTCTTTTTCCTGGTTCTCCTCCTCTTCATCTTCCTCCTTTTCTTCTTCTTCCTGTTCTTTTTCCTCTTCCTCCTCTTCTTCTTCCTCTTCGTCGTCTTCTTTTTCTTCTTCTTCTTGCTCTTTTCTTCTCCTTCTTCCTCTTCTTTTTCGTCTTCTTGCTCTTTTCCTCTTCCTCCTCCTCTTCTTCTTCCAGTTCCTCCTCCTCCTCCTCTTCTTCTCTTTCTTCTTCTTCTTCCTCTTCTTCTTGCTCTTTCTCTCCTTCCTCTTCTTCTTTCTCTTCTTCCTTTTTCTTCCTCCTCTTCTTCTTCTTCTCTTTCTTCTTCTTCTTCCTCTTCTTGCTTTCTTTTCTTCATCTTCTTCTTCCTCTTCTTCCTTTTTCCTCCTCCTCCTCTTCTTCTTCCTCTTCATTGTCTTCTTTTTCTTCTTCTTCTTGCTCTTTTCTTCTCCTTCTCCTTCTTCCTCTTCTTTTTCGTCTTCTTCTTGCTCTTTTCCTCTTCCTCCTCCTCTTCTTCTTCCTCTTCTTCTTTTTCTTCCTCCTCCTCCTCTTCTTCTTCTCTTTCGTCTTCTTCTTCCTCTTCTTCTTCCTCCTCCTCCTCTTCTTCCTCTTCTTCTTCTGCTTCTGCTTCTTCTGCTTTTTCTTCTTCTTCTTCTTCTTCTTCTTCTTCTTCTTCTTCTTCTTCTTCTCCTTCTCCTTCTTCTTCTTCTTCTTCTTCTTCCTCTTCTTTTTCTTCCTCCTCCTCCTCCTCCTCCTCCTCTTCTTCGTCTTCCTCTTCTTCTTCCTCCTCCTCCTTTTCTTCTGCTTCTTCTTCTTCCTCTTCTTCTTCTTCTCCTTCTTCTTCCTCATCTTCGTCTTCCTCTTTGTCTTCCTTTTCTTCTTCTCCTTCTTCTTTTTCTTCCTCCTCTTCCTCCTCCTCCTCTTCTTCTTCTTCCTCCTCCTCCTCTTCTTCGTCTTCTTCCTCCTCCTCCTTCTTCTTCCTCCTCCTCCTCCTCTTCTTCTTCTTCCTCTTCCTCTTCTTCCTCCTCTTTCTCTTTCTCCCCTATTCTTCCCGTCCTTCCTCCCCTCTTCCTCTTCCTCCTCCCTCCTCCCCTGTTCTTTGCACATGGCTCCCAGGCCCCTCCCTGGGGTGGGGGGTGGGGTGGGTCCTCCCCCCTCGCCCGTGACTTACCCAGATGTGCGGGGCGGGGGAGGGGCGGGGTGGTGAAGACCAGCTCCTCCCCCCCCACCCGCACCCGATACCGACAGGAGGCGGCGAGGGGGGCGAGGGTCACGGAGGAGGCCTGCGGGGGGGGGGCGGACAGACGGACAGACGGACACAGAGAGAGAGACAGACAGATGGACAGAGAGACAGAGACAGACAGAGACAGACAGAAGGACACAGAGAGACAGATGGACAGACAGAGAGGCACACACACAGAAAGACAGACAGACAGACAGACAGACAGGGACAAAGACAGAAAGACAGAGACAGACAGATGGACAGAGAGACAGAGACAGACAGCCAGAGACAGACAGAAGGACACAGACAGACAGATGGACAGACAGAGAGGCACACACACAGAAGG